CTTTGTAACAATGATCCACTTCAACTTTTGAATATCTCACTGCTCTGGGGCTTATTTTTTAAAGCACTGTTTTATTCCCTCTTTTCCCCTCTCCCCCTCCTTAACAGTGTTATCTTAATTGTCCTTCAACACCCACCACCAAAAGGAGGTGTCTGCGGAAGGATCAAAGAAGCAAATTTCTACCAAATTAACAAGTGAATCCTAACACACCATTAGGGCATCCTGGGACTACCTACCAGAGCACATCTGGACTACAACTTTAAAACTTTAAAAGCCCTCTGTTTTCCCTGATGGGTGGAATCACAGCCTCCTGGACTATGTTTCACCTTTGCTAGCAAAGCAATAAACTTTTTTTATTCGTTTTCTTAAAACTGTGTCCTCATTACTAAATTGGCACGAATTGGCATTGGGGACATGGGTGGAGCTTTCGGTAACATCTTGTTGGGTCTTAAGGGTTTTGCTCTGGGCCTCACACTGCCTAGGGAACTGGATCTGCTAACTCTGAGCCTGCTCAGCTGCCCGCTGGGGCCAAGCAGGTGAGGTCAATGCAGCAGAGTGCTGCGGGTGTTTAAGACTTGGGGGAGGTGGGAAGCCGAGGGCAGCTCATGCTCATGTCACTCAAATTAAAACAAGCAAATCGCAAGGCTGGCAAAATCCTCCTCTGTCCTGATTGGGTGCAAAGGTTGCCATTTCCACTCACCTACCCAGGTGTTGTCAGACCTATATACTAATGTAGTGCCTATCTTTGGTTCATAAATACAACTTCAATACTGGGCTTGCTTAAAATAATTTCTTAGAATCCTCAGCATCTCCTCCTGACTTCAAATGGAGATCACTGAAGCATACTGAATGTGGGGCCCTCCTCTGAAATTAGGAACAACTTCTTCAAGCTAAGAAGGGAAGCTAAAGGGCCATCCCCACCCCATGGCCTGACAGGTGAAAAGGAAGCTGGGGAGGTGAGCCCAGCCTATCCCCAGGCTATCTGAATCCACTCACATACATTGTCTGCTTTCTGTCTCAATTGGCATCTCTTCTTCTTTCAAAGCTTTGCTGGCCTTTACAGATATTTTTTTCTCAAAAATTTTTATTAGTTATTGATGGACCTTTATTCATTTATTTATTTATATGTGGTGCTGAGAATGGAACCCAGTGCTTCACACATGCTAGGCAAGCACTCTACCATTGAGCCACAACCCCAGCCCCTTTATAGATTTGGAAGACACAACTTTTAAAACAATGTTTCTTCGACCTTCCTTCAAAGCTGGCTTTGAATAAAATCTGTTTTCCTTCCAACTTGATTCTGAGTGTATCTGAGCAGGGACCACTGGAGCCCAGCCTCTTCCCAGAGCTGGTACTGGCTCCGTCTGGGTGACACTATGGAACTATCTAATTAGTTATGCCACATTGTATTGCATGCTTCAGTTTCCTCTTAGCAACTTGTGCTTTGTGCAGGCCACATGACCTTTCTATAATTCACTGTCCCCATCTGAAAATATGCTTGACAATAGAGGATACTTATTCTGCCAGTGACCATACTTCTAGTTTCAGTACAGCTCAGAGGGTTATTAGGATAATTAAATGAGATATATCGAATAAGACAAAGTTGCTAGTGTGCTGAGTGAGCACCACAATGGTATGAGCACCCAATTAGGATTTGGGGACTTTTCCTGTGAAAAACCAGCTTCTACCTCAGAGCAAAGCCTGTCCAAGGAAGGGGGAGTGACCATCGTCCTTGGAAAGACCCACAGAGCACTCCTAGGCACATACTCTCCCTGCTGAGTTGTTTATCTACAAATAACAGGAGAGATCTGCTGTACCAGGTGTCCCTGACTCAGTCAGGCTAGGTGAGGACCCATAGCAACCCCCTAGCAACCACCAATCAGCATGAGACAGGGAAATACCTGGGATGCCAGATGACCCTCCCAGTAGTTTATGGTGGTTGATAACATGTTGGGAAAGCATGTAGTTTAGCACGTACTCCCCTCTTGGCTTAAATCAATCAGTTCAAATGACTCCCCCTCTTGTACTAACCAATCACTCTTACCCAACTTGTTCCCGCCAGTGAATGTGCTAATCATGTTTTAAAGCTGTTTTATGATTTTCCCGTGGTGTGTGATGATTTGCTAAGAGATGCTATGAAATATGTCAAGTCCCTGCCTTCCCCAAAGAGTGTATAAAACTGCTGCAAATCCTGTGCTCTGGGCCTCTCAGTGTCACTAGTTGCTGTGTGCCTGTGGAGCACCCAGCTAGCTAGCAATAAACATCTCTTTGCTGTTTACATGGATCTTGGTCTCTGTTGGTCTTTTGGGGATCTCGAATTCGAGCATAATACCTGCTAAAAGTGAAAGATTTTTTTTACTTAATATCTGAGTAGATCATGCTGGCATAGTTCCATTTTTCTAAAATTATTTAAGAAATTTCTCTTTAAAAATGTTTTTAAAATCTTACTTATTTCTAGTACAATTTTGGATGAAATATATCTACTATGTTTAGCCCCTCAGTGGAGGATCTTCTAGCTCAGTGGTCGTGCTCAAACTTGCGCTTATATGTGAATTACCTGGAGAGTATGGTAGAATACAGAGTGCTGGGCTCAGCCACAGTTTCTGACTCAGAAGATCAAGGTGCTGCCTCTGAACATGCATCCTGGTACTCTCCAATGCAATACCACTGCTGCTGATCCTGGGACCTGGTTACAAAATCACTGTCTTAGAAAATGGACTGCAGTGTTCATTGGGGAAAGTAGTTTGAAAATGCAAACAGTAAATTCATTTCTTCCATATATATTCATACATGTATCCACATGTACACATAATTAAACAGATTATGAAATTAACATTTACTATACAGTAGAAGTTAAGGCTTATTAAATCAAGAATCTATAACACAGTTATTTAGGATGCTTAACGTTCATACCACATTTCAATCTAAATTGCTATATTTTGCTTATAAACATGGGATTTTTTTTTAAATTTCTCAAAACTATTGACTGACCGGCTTGTCCTTCTCTGAACGCTCTATACTGTTGCTCATGCAGGTCAGGCATGCTCCCTGAATATCCACATCTAAGCCCATTACCCACCACCCCAATGCTTTGGTAAGGCTCTGGTAAAATAAAATGAATAATCAACAAGTTAGTAAATACCGTCAGCTTTCCTGACGGTATTTACTAACTTTCATGTAGATGAGATTTCTTTTAAAGAGGGGTATACCTTTTAGGAAAATATAATTGTAAAGGGCATTCCATTTTTAGAAGTATTGTTGGTACAGTAGCAGTAGGCAATTTGAGGCAGATGAAGGGCAAAGAAAACACCATTGAATTTCTACATAGTCATTGAGCTTTCCTTATATAAATCTGCACATAAGGTGAAATGCAGGGTTATCCTAGGAGATGCATCTGACCTTGTCCCTGTTGTAAAACTGTCAGGTGGGTACTCCTATCTAGGGACTGATGCTCTGGTTTTACCATACATGGTCTTTTTGTGATCAGTGTTTATCATTGCTTTTATGAATGTCTGAAGTTTGGAAATCTGGGTGTGTCAAGAAATGAAATTATATTTAAACAAACGTGTACTGATTTTATTACATTTTCTTATCTATTGAAGATATAGGTGTACATTACTTAAGCAATCATACCCTTAAAAATTGACTCTTATCACTCTTTGTTCATGTGCATAATATCCCTGAACATTAAGTAACATAAATATTATGTGGCCAAATTGAAGGAGAAATCTTCCAAATTTTTCCCAAATGATCAGACAGTTTTCCCAGGTCAGGTGACACCACTCACAACCACAAGGCCAAAGGTTCAAAGGAATATGGAGCTGTTAAGCCCTGTTTATCTTAAGGGTGACCATTTTTTGTTCCTTCTTAATTTAGGGCACTATCCCAGTTCATTGCCTAGGTACATACTTCCCTACGTGAAGTCTGGAACTGATCCAACCTTTTGAAGACTAAAGAAACAAATACCAAGTGCAACTTCATGCCTCTAAACAGATTATTAGCCTAAAAACTCCATTAATGGTTTGGTTTCATTCATCCATAGGGAATTAAAAGTTTTGAAGAGTTAAGTTCAATCATATCAAATAAAACAGATAAACATCATTTTTGTCTCTGAAATCTAAATATGGATGGGATTTGATTGCTGGCACATTGTAGCTTCATTGTGAATATGAACAAAAGCCTCACTGAAGCCTTTTGAAACTCTGGTTTTCTTACCTTTAAAATTAGGATAACAGTCGGGCATGGTGGTACATGCCTGTAATTCCAGTGTCTCAGGAGGCTGAGGCAGGAAGATCGCAAGTTTGAGGTCAGCCTCAGCAATTTTCAACTTAGTGAGACCCTGTCTTAAAATAAAAAATCAGGACTGGAGATGTACCTCAGTGAGAAAGAGTCTCTGGGATCAATCCTCTGTAATAAAACAGAAACAAAAAAAAATTATGATAACTATTCCCTCTCTGTAGGGTATTTTTTAGGATAAAGTGATCCCTTTATTCTACTCTATTTTGGGGGGTGGTATTAGAGCTTGAACCCAAGGATGTTTAATCACAGAGCCACATCTTCAGCCCTTCTTCAAATATTTTATTTAGAGACAGGTTCTCTCGTTGAGTTATTTAGGGCCTCCCTAAATTGTTGAGGCTGGCTTTGAACTCATGATCCTCTTGTCTCAGTCTCCCTAGCTGCTGGGATTACAGGCATGTGTCACCAAGCCTGGAACAATTTCTATTCTTATTATTAATGCACTGCTGATTCTCAACTCCACCATGATGATATTACACTAGAAATATTTTTTTTTTCATGAATTTCTGATGATGCAGATAATGTTCTAACTGAAGGGTTTTGTTTATTTTTAAGAACAATAGTTTATTCATTCTTGGTTTTAGATCTAATCTAGCATATTTCCCACTGGAGAAGTTAGTGCCATCCTTTACTATTGGTATATATTCATGATTTAATTTCAGATTTTTAAAATGTCATGCACATTATAATAGTAATCATATGCTTGTGTATATATTTACTTATTGACTTCATGACGCACACATTACTGTTTTATTTTCCAATTTAGCTTGCCAGGTTTTCATTTTCTTGAGGCTTTGCCCTGAGTTGTGAAGTCATAGTTTGAATTCAGCTTAACGTCTATAGATCAAAATATGACTGACATTTCCTTTAGCGTCCAAAAATAGTATTTGAGAGTGTATCTACAACCACATGATCTTATAGCTAGAGAAATAAAAATTTAATTTCTACATTGGAAAACTGAGTCTTTAATGTTACTAAGTTAATTAATGATAAACATCATGGTATTGCAATAATTTCCTAACAATTCTGGTTTTGAGATTTCATTATAACTTCATGATTCTGGGAAAGCAGGAAATGTGGTGTATTCTTCTCAGTGATTGAAAGAGAAGGAAGTTAAACAGGCAGATCTGGTTGAAGGGACTTATGAGCCAATATGGAAAAAAATCTAGAAATAGCAGATTCTGAAGTGATAACTAGTGTCTCCACATTTATTTTAATGACGTTGACATCAGTTTTATGCCAGTTATGACTCAGGGCCAAGATGGTACAGCTCTCAGATACTGCTTTGCTCCCTCCTGGCTCATAAAAAAGGACAGGTGTTCAACATGGTAGTCTGATTGACAGGCTTATGAGATTGCTGTTTGTGACCTATTTAGCTTCTCTTGTTCTCCCCAAGGAAAAGTTAGCTACTTGCACAAGCTCAGTGGTGCACACCTATAATCCCAGTGACTCAGGAGGCTGAGGTATGAGGATTGAAAGTTTGAGACCAGTCTCAGCAACTTAGTGAGGCCCTGTCTCAGAATAAAAAATTGATTTTAAAATAGGGTTGGGAATAAGCGCAATGGTAAGGAGACCCTGGATTTAATCCCTTGTCCAAAAAACAAAACAAAACAAAACAAAACAAAAAGTTAGCTACCTGAGGAACACAGTTTCTTTTGGATGAGCCAAGCTATGCTTTCATTAAGTGGCAGAATTCAGCCTATGCTCTTTCCCCTGTAAATGCCAGTGAGCTTGGTCTCCCCTGTATGGATGTATGTGTTTTTATCTCTTCCTTTCTTCACAGGAAATGCTGAGTGTTGTGTTGATATTGGGAACAAGAAGGAGGTTACCTTCCATGCCCACTTCCCTCTAATGGAGTCCTGATTCTTCCCCTTGGTTCCAGGGGATTACAAATGTCCAGGACTCTTGTATTGTCCACAGCCAAGGTTGGTGAACTGGCTCACAGAACAGGGTAGGTCTCTGAAGTACATTCCATATACTCTGATCTAGATGTACTGAAGTTACGCCATTTTCCTTCCATTTTTAATATTTTTACCCCTATTGAGATATTAAAGTGTTTATTTTTTAACCTACCTCTTTCCCAAACCCTGCCACAATATAAAATATTCTAGTTTATATTCCACTTAGTGTCTGTCTATATCATTACCACTGAGAGGGACACTTCTCAATAATGTCCCTTCCCACAGACTGAGGGATACCCTCGAGGACAATAGCAATGTGCTGCAACCATTTTCTGAGCTATAATATAACTATCTCTTTCTTCACCATTCCATGTTTATTGTTCAAATGCTAAGAGCATTAGCAATAAGAAGGCTTGGGAAGGTGTGATCCCCACTTGGAAGATTACCTGGAGTAGGTTGTGTAGTGCTTAGCACAGAGCTCCATGCCTCTGCTGGCACTCCAGGACCATGCAGGAATTACCAGCAGTGTATCCTTGCACACTTGGACTTGAGAACTACCTAACTTCCAAATTCTCAATGGAATGTCCATTGTTGTGGTTGCTTAGTTCTGCCCACCTTAGCGTCTTCCTAATATCAACTCTAAGAGGCTGTGGATTGTCAATCAGACAGAGGACCAAATCTCTTTAATCCTCTAAGGTAGCCATTTCACACGTAGTTTTCAAAGATACTGTGTTCCAAATGTTGGTGTCTGTAAATGACTCATGCCTTTTTTTTTTTTTTTTTTTCTGAATGGGGGTTAAATTCAAGGCCTTGTGTGTATGCTAGGCAAAGTGAGCCACATCCCCCAGCATTTTTTTTTTTTTTTTTTTTTTGCATCTGGTCATACATAGGAACTGCTTATCTAATCAAGATTCTGTAAATACACATGAGATGTATTAGACAATTTGAGCTGCTGTAACAAATGCTACAGACTTGGTGACTTACAGCAACAAAAATCTTCTCAGCTTCTCCCAGTCTGGAGGCTGTAAAGACCAAGGTGCTGACATGTTCCATGTCTGATGAGGATTCACCTCTTCATAGACCCTGACTTCTCTCTGTATAACTTCACATGGAGGAATAGGTCAGGGATTATCCTGGGGTCTAATTTCTAAGGGCACTAATCACATTCATGAGGGATCTTCCTTCATGACCTAATTATTTCCCCAAAGCCCTAAATCCTTACCTCATCACCTTGGAGGATACAATTTCAACATGTGAAATTTGGTGGGGAAGTAGGAGATACATATTCAGATCACTGCACAATGAAACTAGACTTCAGGCAAAAGGATTCATAGCTTTGCTGATGATTCATTGCTGTTGATGTAATATATGAGAAAATCTTGCTATGTTTTTTGATGCATTACATAAAATTCTGAGTTTAGGACAAATCTCTAAGCTTCATTTAGATGTTCAATATCCAAAATAGGAAGCAGACATATATGTTTCTCTCTAGAGAAGAAAAGGATCAAATGCCATACTTAGGATGTAATAAAGCCTTCAACTTCATGTTACTTTTAATTTATTAATATGTATGAAATACAACTGACCACAGATGGGACTCCTTACTCTCTTTCCATGATCTATATCAACTACTCTTTCTATTTCTCTTCTGCAGATACCTAAATATAAGGCATCATGCTATTTCATGCAAAAATCTGAATGAAAACATGTCTCTGACGCTCATATTCTGATATGTGAAACTGTGATGAGGGTCAACCTAGGAATGAGCTGTAAGTTCATACACAGAACCAACTAGGAATCATCTCTAGAAGTAAGTTAATTCCCAAGTATGAGATCTCAAGGGCGAAAGTCAGAATTTTCTCCCAGAATTAAAAAGCATATGTATTTGTCTGAAGCATGATGTAAGAAGCATTTTCTTTCTGGGAATTCAGAAGCAAATTGCAATTAAATTAATTGTGTGTTTATTACTATTTTTGAAGGCCTAAGATAATGCAAGTATCTGAGTCTGGACAATGTTTAAATAGCATTTGTATTTTAGCTCCTCTATCAGAAATATGTTGCTTTATCAGATTGGTGATAATTATGAATAGGAAGAACAACAAGTTCTCATTGAGATTTTTGGGAAAAAATAAATAATTGGAGGACCATCAACTTATCTAGAATAATTACTTCATAGCTTTTTGTTTGGTGGCATGTATTTAAAAACAACACAGTTATACCTATTAACAAACATTAAACACACACACACACACATATACACACAATTATAAATACACACAAAATTACAATATGTGAAGCAATGATATACTTCTTAAAAACAAAAATAAATATGCATTTGAAATTTAAAAATCAATACATTGCCATTCATGTGAAATATTTGTGTACTTATCAATGCGCATAGATATGATATATTATGATTTGTTTTAATTTCAAATAATACTTTCTATACGTATTAGTTTCTTTATACAGTTTCAGAATATAGACTCTTAAAAATCTGTGCCTTGAAAAAAATCAGTCGGAACACTTGTAAAAATTATCAAAATCATCCTTTTCAGAATACTTAAAAGTTAGCTGTCGACTTCCAACAACTTAAGAAGAGTTCATTTAATAAAAATGGGAAAATTTCACATTAAGAGTAAGCTGTAGCATTTCAACTTGACACAACCCATACCCACTGTTCCCAGCACCAGAGATGCTTTTCAAACCAGCAGCATCAAAGTTACAAGGATATAACTTTGCACCAAAGATGTGCATATCATATTTTTCCAAACTGTGAATATGGTACCTTGGGTGTTATTGTATATGACAATGTAATGTCATATGAAATGAATTCAGAGACACCTGCTAGAGAGCCATAAGTATCTTAAGGCCATTATTTTAACTGAAACAAGGCGACCTTGAACTGAAACAGACAAAGGAAAAAAATGAAAGAAACTTACCCCATTCAAAACTTTCTATGGGAGAAAACTGCATAACAAAGTTGGTAAACTGAAAATGCATTCTTCATTTTTTAAAAATGTAAAATTTGTTCTGAAGGCTGAGACACAAGCCCGGAGAGCAGAGCCCTGAGCCCCAAAGAAGAGCTGAGAGCACGGAGGGAGAAGAATTACTCTAAAGCCTTGAAAATCTGGTGGTTTGCCTTCCCGGATTTCAGAATTCCTTGGAATGTTGACTCCTCTTTCTCTTGTATTTGCCCTACTATAAGTT